AGAGGACCATTAGGGGGTGCATTGTCCCTCTCCCACAGGGCTTATATCTGGGACTTTCCACTATTTGACCCTAGAACTGAAGAAGCTTCTCGGATGAGAGGGGAAACGTCTTCAAGCAACTTAAAGAAGTCCAGAACCTTCAAGGATGACTGAAAACCGTCACAGACAAAAAATAATGTAATGACTCTTAAACTAACAAGGGAGTGACTAATGTATGGGAGAATGTCCTTATTCATTTGGCAAATATGACAGTAAAATAATACTCTGCATCAAATGCATGACCTCTCAGTTGGTTAGCTTACTGAGACACATGCAGCAACATTACATTAGCTGACACTTCTGGCAACTTCAGAAGATATATCTATTCCTCTCACTGTTATTGAGTGTTATTGAGTTATTAAGTGTTATTGAGTTATTAAGTGGTGACCTTATGCAGTAGTCTAAACTTGCAGTTTTTTAAAAACTTTTATGAAGCTGAGCTTCAGCACAAACGTCAGTTTCTCCCACTAGTCAAGACCGCATTGGGATTTTGTTTTTTGCATTATTCATACTAACACAACATATCAGTGAATGACTTCCTGATGGATCTTCAAAATTAAAGGTCCTGCTCGACCCAGCAAGAAGAGCAGAAACCAAAACAAATTCTTTCAGACCATCACTTCTTGTGTGTAACAATAAAATGAAAACAAAAGAACAATTCCACAACTACACAAATCATTTACAAATCATTTCATCTTTTAACAGATTTCTCCAGCTGGGTTACACATGTTACAATTTATTTTATATATTGTTTTAGATTAGTTGATAACAGATACGGACGTGGTTTTATTAAGGAAAAGCATAATACGAAGTGTAGGATCTTACCTGTGCTGTTCTTTCAGGAGGAGATGAAAAAGAGACTGGATGCAGAAACTTGAACTTGGAAAAAAAACCTCAAAGCATGCTGTCTGATTGATAGTTAATATGCTAAACAAAATTAACAAGTAGCATTAAACAACAACAGAAATCTGAAATTCTTGTTCGAGGGCTACCTCGTCCCAGTAACTAAGAGGGGCTCTTTTTATCTAATATCTCTGCTTTTTCAAGCCTCCAACAAAAAGACAGTCGTTCAAAGTTCTGACACTATCAGTTTAATCTTCTGCTAGACTAACATGATGCTTATCTTAATAATGACCATCAAAGGTCTATTTTAATGCTGAGATCGGCAATGGCAATTGCACCCCAGGGAAGGACTTCTTAGAGGCTAGTGCAGTTCGATGTTATCCGGTATGGCGGTTATCAGATCTGCTGCAAAGGATGTGAGGCTTCCCAAACTGGATTTAAACGAAAAGAATAAAGAAGGGGAGCTATTCTCCTGCCCAGGGTGTGCTCTCAGTGTGTGACACCAATTGAAGAAACCAGTAATATTCCTCAATGGTTAGCCCCACTCCATATTTTTTTTAGTACACAACAATTCTAACAATTCTACTCGAGAGATTTGGAGCAGTGATCAAACTAGTTTTCGCTGGATAGAAACTAGATTTTATCAAACTATATAAGATAATCTTATAAAAGCAGCAAAGGAGCCCAAATAGCCCAAGGCGAAAACAGTTTAAGCAGCTGTATCTAAAGGCCACTCAGTCAATGATTGGCCTTGAATTACCAAGTTATAAGTATAAAGTCATCAGTTGCAGTTGCAATTTGGACACTGCTAGCTTGTTTTCTGTTTTATTGCTTGATTTTGACTGATTTACCCAAATAATTACATTGGCTAGAAGCAGAACATGTTCAATTTTAAGGTGAGTTTCACATCAATAATAATAATAATGGATTGCATTTATATAGCGCTTTTCGGGACCCCTCAAAGCGCTTTACAATTCCACTATTCATTCACACACTGGTGGAGGCAGCTACAGTTGTAGCCACAATTGCCCTGGGGCAGACTGACAGAAGCGAGGCTGCCATATTGCGCAATCGGCCCTTCTGGCCATCACCAGTAGGCGGTAGGTGAAGTGTCTTGCCCAAGCACACAACGACCGAGACTGTCCGAGCGGGGCTCAAACCGGCAACCTTCCGGTTACAAGACGAACACCCAACTCTTGAGCCACAATCGTTCATCATAGAGCATAATTAAAAGTTCTTAAATGCCTGTTGTTATGTGTAGATTCCTCGATGGAAGTCTCATTCTGGCAACTTCAACATGTGCTTTGTGATTTCACCGTGGACATCAAACTTCCAGAGAGTGAACCTTATTCTGCTTGACGCATCCTCACTGGTAATGATAGCTGGACCTTCAGCTATGACCAGTTGTCCACAGTTTCTAAGCATCATGGCAGTGTGTCAGGTGAGACTTCGGACATGGATCCTACTTTTTCTGTCAACATTCAGGTGGTTCTGCATTATCAGGCATCTCTGGGAACACAGAGGAAACCACGAGGAGACTGATTTTACCTTCCAGTCAGGTAAGGTTTGTAATGTTTATGAGCCCATCCCCAAAATATTTAAATTGCATTGATCTCCTGATGGATGTTAAGAAGTTGATAAACAACTGTTATAAAGCCAAGCTGGAAAGATGATCCCAACAACTACCTAATAGAGTGGTCAAATGTTATTTAGACTTATACTGTGGTAAGGCTGGGCGATATGTAACTTTCCAACTGACAATTGTTCAGGGCTGCGGGGAATGTTGCGCGTGCAGTAGTCAACATGTGAATGTCGTGGTAGTACTTTGTGTGATTTTTTTTAAAACATTTTAATCCATACTAACTATGTCGGGCAAAAGAAGAAAGTGGTCGGACGAATATGTACAATATGGATTCACATGTATCACGGAACGTGATGGGAGTGAGCGTCCTATCTGCATGATTTGCAACGCCAAGTTGAGCAACTCTAGTCTCGCAATGGCAAAACTAAAGGAACACTTCTTGAAGCTGCATGGAGACGGGGAATACAAGAACACAACACTTGCTGAATTCAAGGTGAAGAGAGCCAGATTAGATGAAAGGCCCACTCTGCCTGCTCTTGGATTTGTACCCGTTAACAAACCAATCCTCACAGCATCGTACGAAGTTGCTTACCTGATCGCAAAGCAGGGCAAGCCACACACCATTGGTGAAACACTTGTGAAACCAGCCGCGTTAAAGATGGCGAATCTGATACTCGGAACAGCGACCGAAGGTAAATTATCACAAATTCCTCTTTCAAATGACACCGTCAGCGACAGAATAGAAGACATGAGTAAAGACATCTTGGCTCAAGTAATCGCCGATCTGATTTCAAGCCCGGCAAAATTCAGCCTTCAGCTCGATGAGAGCACAGACGTTGCTAATCTAAGCCAGCTTACTGTTTTTGTGCGCTATGTGAAAGATGACATGATAAAAGAAGATTTTTTATTTTGTAAGCCTCTTACAACAACAACTAAGGCAGCCGATGTGAAGAAGCTTGTGGATGACTTCTTCAGAGACAACAATCTTTCATGGGACATGGTTTCTGCAGTTTGTACGGATGGAGCTCCCGTCATGCTGGGAAGAAACTCTGGTTTTGGTGTGCTAGTAAAAGCCGATGCACCACACATCATTGTGACTCATTGTATTTTGCACAGGCATGCGTTGGCAACAAAAACCTTGCCTCCAAAAATGGCAGAAGTATTAAAAACCGTGGTGGAATGTGTGAACTATGTGCGAAATAGTGCTCTGAGGCACCGCATCTTCAGTGAGCTGTGTAAAGAAATGGGCTCTGAATTCGAGGTACTTCTGTACCATTCTAGTGTTCTGTGGTTATCCCGGGGGCAGGTGCTGAATCGTGTTTTTGCCATGCGTGTGGAATTGGCCCTGTTTTTGCAAGAGCACCAACACCGTCATGCAGATTGCTTCAAAAATCCTGAGTTCATTCTCATTTTAGCGTACATTGCTGATATATTCGCAGCTCTCAATCATCTCAATCAGCAGATGCAGGGTGGTGGAGTCAATATCATCGAAGCGGAAGAACACCTGAAGGCTTTTCAAAAAAAGCTAACGTTATGGAAACGACGAACAGAGAACAATAACTTTGCAAACTTCCCCCTTCTGGACAACTGTGTATGTAAGGTCGAAGATGTGTCTGGAATCGGAGATGTTTCTGTATCCACGGAACTGAAGCAAACAATTGCAACGCACTTAGATGAGCTTGCAAAGTCTCTCGACAGATATTTCCCTACAAGAGAGTCATATCCAGCATGGGTGAGACAGCCGTTCACGTTTGCTGTTGAGACAGCAGATGTCAGTGATGAATACCTTGACGAAATCATTGAAATTCAGCAGAGCCAGGTTCAACAGCAACTCTTCAGAACAACAACGCTCTCAACGTTTTGGTGTCGACAAATGGACAAGTGTCCAATTATTGCTAAGAAAGCCCTGGATTTTTTTATACCATTTGTTACAACATATCTTTGCGAGCAATCCTTTTCGACGATGCTGGACATAAAAACGAAGAAAAGGAACAGACTTTTCTGTGAAAATGACATGAGACTGGCACTTGCTAAGGTGAAGCCATGCATATCTGAACTGGTCTCTCAAAGGCAACAGCAGAAGTCACACTGATTTGCAGGTATGCAATTTGTTGTAAGTTCATGCATTGTGTTGGTTTTGTTCTTTGAACAAGGTGATGTTCATGCACGGCTCATTTTGTGCACCAGTAAAAATCATATCTATGTCTTGAATTTGAAGAAAGAAAAAATTTCACTAAAGAGGGGTTCGATGAATGCGCATATGAAACTGGTGGGGTTCGGTACCTCCAACAAGGTTAAGAACCACTGGGCTACAGAGATTGGCTTCTTCAGTATGTGCTCCAACGACATTACAAACAATACAACACCTAATCACTTTAATCACTTTAAGCATATTTGCACTGCACAAGACA